CTCCCACCCTCGACCAATCGCCACTCAGAATGCTGGGCTGGCACGGTGGCGGGACTTGCCGCAGGCAGTTGGATCCGCCGCCCCCTGTTGATTCATCACAGGGGTGCCTGGCGTGCTCAACTTCTTACGATTTTGGTTTTGGTTCGTTTCCGAAAGAACTCTCCCAGTGGGCTCTGGCGCGTCCCGCCGGGGTCCCGGGAGGATGCCGAAAGATCTTCAAGAGGTGGTTGCAAAGGATTTTTCCGTTCCAGACGGCACCAATATGGCCCAAGATGGCCTCCAAGACGCCTCCAAGACGGCCAAGATGGCCTCTTAGACGGCTAAAATGGCCCCAAGATGCCTCCAAGACGGCCCAAGATGCACCCAATACGGCACAAGATGGCCTCAAGATGGCCCAAAACTGCCCAAGAGGCTCCCAAGAGGCCCCCAAGACGGCCCAAGAGGCCTCCAAGACCTCCAAAATCATTGATTTTCCTATGGTTTTTGAAGGATTTTGGTATTTGTCCTTTTTGGCTTTCCGACGGTCCAAGACGGCCCAAGAGGCCCCCAAGGTCGCCCCAAGATCGCCCAAGAGGCCTCCAAGATGGCCCCATGCATGACGGCCCAAGAGGCCCCCAAGACGGCCCCAAGGGGGCGCCAAGACGGCCCAAGAGGCCTCGAAGACGCCCAAGATGACCTCTAAGACGGCTCTGGAGCACCCCAAGAGGGCCCCAAGTCGGCCCAAAAGCCCCCCGAACGGCTTCCGACGGCGTCAGACGGGCCAGGAGCCCACCAAGATGGCCGAAGGTGGCTCGCAGCTGGCCCAAGACGGCCCAAGAGGCCTCCAAGAGGGCCTCCAGGAAGGCCAGAAAAGGCCAACAAGAGTGATTTCCCGTAGGTTGTTGAAGAAGTTTGGCATTTGCTTCGTTTCGGCCTTCCGACGGCCCGATACGGCCCAAGAGCCCCCAAAGATCGCCCACGGATCGCCCAAGAGGCCTCCAAGATGGCCCCAGAACGGCCCAAGAGGCGCCCAAGACGGCCCCCAGAGGCCCCCAAAGACGCTCAAGATGGCCTCCAAGACGGCCGACGAATCCTCCAAAACGTCCTCCAAGAAGGCCCGAAAGGGTCAAAATGGCCTCCAGGCGGCCAAGATGATCTTCAAGATGCCCACGTGTTCCCCGCAGGCTTTCCAAACCGATTCGGGGAACACATGGTCCGATAGCTTGGCAGGTCTGGCCACAACGTTCGGCCACATAGGCGCTTCCACAAAGGCAGGGGGCGGCGGTGATTCGCCGTAGGCGTCTTCGATACATTTTTAAGGTGGCGCGTGTGTGCCCAGGCTCATGCAAAAACTGAAAGGTCGTTTGGAGCAGGAAGACACCATGACGGCGGGATCGGAGATGGAGAAGGGGAAGCTGGCTCGGCGCCGCCAGGGCGTGCCTAAGAGAAGGGGAAGAGGCAGAAGGTGAACGCAGAATTATCTAAGATCGAGGAAGAGCCCCCCCAAGGGATTGGGGATCGAGCAGGAGGATCGACGAGGGCAATGTCTCTCCGAGGTCAGCGTTGCGAGGATGTCTCAGGCGAAAGTGGCCTGACCACCTCAGCTCAGGGCATCTCGGAACCCAGAGTTGCGAGGACGTTTCAGGCGAAAATGGCCTGAACACCTCAGTTTAAAACATCTCGGAACCCAGAGTTGCGAGGGTGTCGCAGGCGAAACTGGCCAGACCACCACGGGACAGGGCGTCTCGGAATCCAGAGTTGCGAGGGCGTCTCAGGCGGAAGTGGCTGAACCACTTTAGTTCAGGGCATCTCGCATCTCAGACCATCTGGCCCCGAAATGCCCGAGGAAGCAATCGAAAGACCTCCTCCTCGAAGCCATCGAGAAGCCTCCTCTTCCTCCTCATCCTCCCCTCTTCCTCCTCCTGCTCCTCATCATACTTCTCGCTCGCCACAAGCACACGAACATATAGCACCAGTGATGCAAGATGGGCTGGCGGAATGAGCGAAGCGATTAACAAGAGAAGTCTAAGCACGATTCCCACCAGCCGATTTGCTTCACTAGATGTGAAGGGAAAGAGAAGGACGAGAAGAGGAGGAGGAGGAGGAGGAGGAGGAGGATAGCTGCTGGGAGAGAAGTGCAATAGCGGGGTCGCACTCGAGCGCAAGCGGGGTTGCCACACCTTGCGATGTGTGTACCACGGGCCCCCAAGAAGCCTCAGGAGGCCAGACCAGGATGCCGAAAAATATTCCAGGAGGCCCCAGGAGGTGTCGTCTGGGATCGAGGTTGCGAGGATGTCCGTGGAGGCCTCAGGAGGCCCGACCAGGAGGCCGCAAGAGGCTCCAGGAGGCCGAAGGAGAATACGTCTGGGCTCGAAGTTGCGAGGATGTCCATGGAGGCCGCAAGAGGCTCCAGGAGGCCCGACCAAGAGACCGCAGGCCCAAGGAGGCCCCAGGAGGCTCCAGGAGGTTCCAGGAGGCCCCCAGGAGGCTCCGAGGGATTTTCGGAGGATGTCGCAAGCGGGGTTGCCACACCTTGCGATGTGTGTACCACGGGCCCCCAAGAATCCTCGAGAGGCCCGACCAGGATGCCGAAAAATATTCCAGGAGGCCCCAGGAGGGGTCGTCTGGGATCGAGGTTGCGAGGACGTCCGTGGAGGCCTCAGGAGGTCCGACCAGAAGGCCGCAAGAGGCTCCAGGAGGCCGAAGGCGAATACGTCTGGGCTCGACGTTGCGAGGATGTCCATGGAGGCCGCAAGAGGCTCCAGGAGGCCCGACCAAGAGACCGCAGGCCCAAGGAGGCCCCAGGAGGCTCCAGGAGGCCCCCAGGAGGCTCCGAGGCGGGGTCTGGGGTGCCAGAAGGTACGTCGGGGCTTGATTTTCGAAGGATGTCTCAGGCGAAACCGCCATTCTTTGAGAATCGGGGTCAACATCATTGAACTTACATGGTGTTGTTGACGGTTTTATGTTAGAATGTTGAAATTCCCATGTGTTTTGGGACCCTCTGACGTCACGAAATGTGTGAGGGGTGCCACCGATGTTCAGAGATTTCGAGGGTGTCCGTAGCGAAACGGCCAGAAAAATCGCGGATGCCGTGCGGCCTTCAATTAATCGCCTCTGAACTCTACTCCCTCGGAGGTGCGTATGATAATATATATATATATATATATACATACACATGTACACGTATAGATACACATACATACATACATACATACATACATACATATATATATATATATATATATATATATATGTCGATGCGAGGGGGTTCCGCTCACGCGAATCCGGTCAAAGTCGTGCGAGCGAATCCATCTGAAGTCGTGGCGGGCATCTTGGAGGCCTCTTGGAGGCCTATTGGTGTTCCCTTCGGGCCTCGAAGGGGCTTCGCACGGGGTCTTAGGGCGCTCTTGGCCCGTATGACGCCTTCGGAAGCCGTCAGGCTGGACTCTTCGAGAATGTTTGGGTCGTTTTGGGGGGCTCTTGCAGCCTCAGACGCGACCGTCCAGCAGCCGCAGAGAAGTCAGAGACATCATCATTGTCATGATGAGGATCGTCACCATCTTCGTCACCGTCACCATTCTTATCAGAATCAGCATCCGCATCCTCATCCTCGCCACCATCGCCAGCATCACATCATCATCACCATCAGTATCATCAACCTCATCATCATCACCATCATCATCACCATCGTCATCGTCATCGTCATCATCATCATCATCATCATCATCATCATCATCATCACCATCGTCATCACAATCACCATCATCACGATCATGATCTTCATTCCCAGAATCAGATGCCAAAACATGCTGATGATGCTGATGCTACTGATGATGATGCTGATGATGATGATGACGATGATTATGCTGATGGTGATGCTGCTGATGATGATGATGATGATGATGATGATGATGATGATGATGATGAGGATGACGTTGCTGCTGCTGCTGCTGATGATGATGATGATGATGCTGATGATGATGATGGTTACCATGATCGTCGTCGTCGTGCCGTCGGTCAGATGTTTCCAGAGAAGCCTCTGTGAGCATTACGCCAACTGCGCACCTCGGAGGGGATCCTGGTCGTGTGGGGGGTCGGATGCGCCGTTGGGAGAAAAGGATTTGGTCATCCCGGGGGCCTCTTGGGAACCTCTTGGGTGCACGTTAGGGCCGTCCTGGGGCCATCTACTCCTCCTTCCTCTCCTGCCCTTCCCCCTGCTGCTTAATGAAGCCTTGGGGCTCTACCTCCTGCTCCTCCGTGCGCCTCTGCCCCCCCCCTCCCCATGTACTTTCTAGCAGCCATCTGCTTTCCGATGATGGCCGCAGTTGTGTGCGCTGAAAGAGGCGGTGCAGCTAAGTGTGCGGTCGCCCGCTGGAGGGCCACCTCGTGTGTTGGGGCCGCTCTCAAGCACAACTCGGATTTCCTGAAGGTGCCGGGGGGGTCCCCGTCATTGGGCTGCGACCCTGCCCCGTCGCTCCAAGGAAAGCTGGCCCCCCCGCCCTGCTTCAAACCAAAAGACGGCCGCTCGGGCGCGAAGATGTACTGCATACCGGACCATGCGCCATCTGCGGGGGAGCCCCGGGATGCGAAGAGAGATCTCACAGGTTACATGTCGACCCCTATCCCAGGCTACGTGGGGCTTTCGAGTGGACCAAAAATTTGAGGCCCGGCCCTGGGATATACCATTTAGGGGCGTCCATCCACGCTAGGGGGTGCGTCTGGACAGCCCCCTGGGGGTGTATCCCAGAGTGTTCACCTTTTTTCTTTGAGCGGCCAGACTTTTCTGGCGGAACTCGGGGATTCGGGGAGAAAATCGCCTGTGAAGATCAGCTGCGTCTTTTGCTGCAGGTGAGAAGCGCCTCTAAGGGCCGTTCCGCCAGCCCGAAGACGAAACGTGTGACTGAGGGCTCGTCCGCAGGGAAAGACTCGTACACGCCAAAACGCACGCGGAGATTGCTTTATGGTCGCCCAGGAAGGGCAATATGTTACGGCCGCCTGCATACCGCTCGATTCTCGGACTGTCATTCCTCGGAACTGTAATCGTCGGAACTTGCGTCTGTATCAGTTTCAACGCCACTGCCGTCAATTTCCGCGACAAGGTCGCTTACTGTCTGCAGCTGGTAGAGCCGCATGGCGCTGACCTTGGCGGCGGGAAAATTCTTCCTCACCAGTGCAACCATTGCTCCCATGCCGAAGCTGTCGAAGCCGCACTCGGCGATCAGGGTGGAACCATCAACGTCGGCACCTGTCAAGCCCTTGATGAGGGAGACCATGACCGTGAGGGTGTTATGCTCGTCCGTCTCCTGCCACTGTGATTCTCCCTTGCAGTAGCGGAGGGAAAGTACTCTCACGCAGTAGTCAACTAAACGCATGAACATCGACGTCACGTACTCATTAGCAACGTGAGTGACGAAGACAGCCAAGCAGATCGTGATTGATAGGACTGCCAAAAACTCCCAGGGTGACACGTCGTCCAAGAACTGTGGAACATGTCCGAGATCGTTCCACGAATAAAATGATAGCCACCAGTAGTAACACACTGGCAGGTGGAACAAATAAATCGCATAAGCCGCTGGGGAGAGGTACTTCACCAGGTACGTGTTGCTCATGATCAGCGACGTGATGCCCGTACCCGCCGCAAGCCCGTAAAGCCACACTGCCAAGACTGGCAGACAGAGTTGCCAACCCTGGTCCAGGCCTGCTCCCCCGTGGTAGCTGTGCGCGCCAAAGAACATCGCGAATACCCTGTCGGCGTCGTAACATACCGCAGTCAATGCGATAATCAAGAGCAGCATCAAAGTAATACTGTCGGTGAGCACGCCCCAGAAAGGCCAATACTCACTCTCCGATGCCCCACGCCGATTGAACTCGAAAGCGTTGAAAGTGAGCACGCCCAACATGAACGTGCCGAGCCATGTTGGGGGGAATGTCCAGCACGCCCATGCCGCCTCATTCGGTGTATTGTGCCAGCCGGAGTAATAAAGAGCATACTTCGTGATCCAATGTCCGACCTTGGTGCCAACGGTAATGACCAGGGTAGACAACAACATGGGCCGGCAACAATAGAGATTGCAGCCGAAGAGGCGGCTCCTTGAACATGCGCACCATCTCTGAGTGGAGTCGGCGGTCGGATTGAAGAGCGGGCTCTTGGCCCAGGAATGCACGAACGGGAAGCAAAACACAGTGAAGTAGTAAGCACTGGAAAACCACAACGCAGGGTTCACAAAGAAGAGCTCGCTGGACGCGACTCCCCATGGCCATGCGGTCTGCGCAGCTACTAAACTGAAGAGCATGTAAGCTTCTCGTCCTACGCGCCTAAGAGCGCCCCAACCATCATCATCCCTGTCCATCTCGCGCTGCTCGCATGTATGGGTGAAGCCGCTACCACCCAACCTATCCTCGCCTTTTCCGATGCAAACCATGTAGTAGATTGGCAATGAGAGAAATACAGAAAGCAAGTACAATGGATGCGCCGCAATGATACGGCTCTTATAGAAATGCGCACGGTCAACGATAGGTCGAGTCGTAGCTGCGCTCAACATAAAGCCTGCAAGCATAAAGAAACCGGGCATGGATATAGAGATGTCGCGCAACCGTTTAATGCGGTCGTTAAAATTGCCGACGTGCATGAAAACCACCCAGATCGCAAAGAAGAAACGCAAGCCATAGACTGCTTTATGCGGCTTCACGGGCGGAGGCACGAATGCCGGTGCCACGTCGACATCATCCCCGCCCTCCATCGCATGCTGCGCCACCAGGTCGACAGCCGAGAGCCCCAAATAGTCAGACAGACCCACCCGCTTGTACTTCTTGGTGCCTGTCTTCGGGATGTCGTCGCCGGAATCCAAAAAGACGATTTGCCGCGGCACCTTATGGTCTACCAGCCGCTCTGCAGCAAAATCCGCCGACCCTTGGGGGTTAGGAGCGTGTGAGATTGTTCCCCGCGCCCTCGATGGACTCGATCGAGCTTGTTCGGTGGGCAGTGGGGGGGATCGGGGGGTGAGGGAGTGAGCGCCCCGGTGCCATGATGGTGGAAAGATCGTATATCGAACATTTAGAGCGATCGATTGCGCTTGAAACCTGATCAGTCAATACATGTTGGACATCGACCAGGATGCCCCCCGCTTCTGGAGCCCAAAAACGTACGAAAACCTAAAGGAAATCTTGGGGTGTCTATGGGGGCCCAGGAGTGCGTCAAGACGGCTCAAGATGGCTTCAAAACGTGCCCAGACGACCCTAAGACGGTCAAAGATGGCCCCAAGAGGCTCCAAAAAGCCTCCAAAAAGGCCCCAGAGGGCCCCAAGAGGACCCCACGAGCGCCTCCAGAGGCCGAAATTATTGTTTGTCCTTGGTTTTGGTCTAAGATTTTAGCGTTCTCGTCTTTGTTCTGTCCCTAGAGGTCCATGATGGTCCAAGCAGCCTCCAAACTGTTCCCAAGACGGCCCCAAAGGCCCCCAAGAGGACCGCAAGAGGCTCACACGAGGCCCAACGAAGCCCACAAGAGGCCCCCAAGAGGCCATAAAGAGACTTCCACCAGGCCCCACAATGTCTGGACTGCACGTGCTCCGGACGTGCATCCCGCGAAACGTGAAGAATACACGTCCGGCGGTGACGTGCTGAGCAGCAGCGTTTTCCGCGAAGGCGACAATTCAACGTATCCAATGTATCCAATAGTTGCGTAACTGCCACATGTGTCCCCCCTATTCCCTCTCGTTAAAAACTCAAATCTGAGGCTGAGGCCTTTGATGGTGGTACGATGTGCAGATATTATTTCTGGACGGGCCCCTCCCAGCTCAGTTCGTCCCAATGGCGCCAAATAGTGAGGCCCAAATAATTGCCCCACGTGCGAAATCGGAAAACTCCAGCTGGTGGCCCCTAGGGCTATACGGATCAATTGTTCTTCACGGATCTCCTGGGAGAAGACCAAGACAATCCTTCCTGAGTTCACCTGCAGTCCGGGCTCGGCGCCAACTACTTCCCAGACGTTCAAAGCCTTGGTCAAGACTTTCATCACGTCCGACATGCGATCCGGAGGAAGATGAGGACGAGAAGGGCGAAGGAAGGAGGGAGAAGGATGATGACGATGAGGAGGATGAGGAATATGACGAAGACGGATAACAATCAACGAGAACAATGAGGACGAGGATACAAGGGGATGAGGAAGGGGTGTCAACGTGGAGGACGAGGATGAGGCCAGTGAGTACGAGAAGGAGACTCACCACGAAGAGAAGGATATACAATAGAGAAGATGACATAACAGACGAGGATCAAAGGAGCGCATTCCGAGTGGCAAGATCCAATCTTCTCGCAAACAACGTGCCCGGAATGCCCCAGTGCGGTCGAGCAGGCGGGATGGGGAGCTCGTCTGGAAGTGCCCCCCGCGAAGCGTTGCGCATCTATGATACCCTCTTGAGAAACACGAAGCGACCGCAAAGCTTCGGAGCGCCCTCCAATCAGGCCAAAGGCAACTTCATCCGCAAGCCTCTTTGACAGACTCCTTGCGAGAGTCCTTGGCTGAGTCCTAGACACGCCGTCCGCCACCATCAATGCTGACTCAATATCGGGGTCCCGTTGCTCCGTCTGCTGAACGCCAGGCTTCAAGACGATCGCCGCGGCCACCTCCTCGCCCCAGAAAGCGTTCGGGACCGCGAAGACAACGGCGATCTCCACGCATGGGTGGGCGAGCAACACTTCCTCGACCTCGTATGGGCTCACCTTGGGAAGCACGAGTGGTCTGACACTATAGAGAGGCCGTCGAAGGCGGGTTGCGCAACACAGACATGGCTTAAGTGTGCACTCGTGCTCTTGAAAAAGTGACGGTGCCCATGCTGCGCGGAATTGCACCCTGGAAGCCAGCCGCCAACCCGAACATTAAGCGATGCTACCTGGCCGTTGCCTGTGTGACCGAGCATTATCGCCTACAGAATTCGTCGATCGTGACTTCTGGTTCGTGGCCTCGTTGCTACCTCAAGGCCCATGGCTCGCGAGTCATTGTCCGCGGACGCGCGGCTGGCTCGTGCCCCATGGCTCGTAGCCTATGGCTCGTAGCCCATGGCTCGAGGCCCATGCTGCCAGAAGCCCGTAGCCACTCACAAGCGGCGGCGGTGATTGTATTGCACTGGCGCCTGGCAAGGGTATAGCGTTGCGTCCCGCAGGAAGTGTTGTTCTGTCTCCAGGCTGGCGTATTGCATTGCCTCCTGCAGGGGGAAAGCACCGACCCTCGCAAGCGTTTTTATTCCCCAAACCATGCTTGCACTTAGGGGTTCCTGCATTCTTTTTTGTATGATGTGCTTGCTATGCTTGGGTTCTCGGCTGGTGCCCGCCCGTGGGCGCCTCTTGGGCGCCCCGCGCTTGGGAAATTTGCCGAGGTTTCGCCTAGTGCTCGCCTCGTGAGCGCCCCGCGCTGGCGGTGTGTGCCGAAGTTTCGCCAGGTGCCCGCCCGTGGGCGCCTCGTGGGCGCCCCGCGCCGAAAGGGGTACGCCAAACGATTCATGTGGTGCCCGCCCGTAGACCCTCGTGGGCGCCCCACGCTGGGGGGGTATGCCGAGGTTTCGCCCGGTTCCCGCCTGTGGGCGCGCTCCGCGCTGGGGGAAGGGGGGGGGGGGGGGCGAACCGGGGTTTGGCCTGGACCCTGCCCGTGGGCGCCTCGTGGGCGATCCGCGCTGGGGGAATGTGCCTGCATATCGCCTGGTGCCCGCCCGTGTGCGCCCCGATGATTCACATCACGTGTGTTTTTCTTTCACGCAAGAATCTACGGTGAAGTCGGGCCTGTCCCTCCGCAGGAGGAACATTCAAACATGGTACAAAAAATCTGGGGACTGTTTTTTCGCTTAAAATCCGCCTGTGTGGGGAACACGCCCGACCTAAATCTACGACCCCCCCCGCGCCCAAAGTGAACGGTTCACGAACTGGAATTTGCACATCGGAATACGGGAACGATCACCCCCCACGTGAAATCACACCACCCCGACAGGGCACATATCGCCTCGTCCCATAATCCGTATCAAATGATGCATTGCGCGCACAATTGTGTTGGAACACGTAATGTTTCAGGCGCCGTTTGCGACGAAGAATAATTTCCACACGCGCGCGCACATGTTGAAATCATTTTGAGAATGCAAGTAGACGCATCAAACAACCACTGGTCTCCAACAGGCGACATTAAAATTTTTATGCTGGCACGCGCGCTTGCGAAAATCATCCGACAAGAAAATGCGATTGAACTATCACTCGTGGGGGAGCTATCACACTGTGTTTTGTTGATTGATCATAAACATGGGAAATAAAACTCAAACCGCGTTTGGGGCCCGAGCTACAACAACAACGGCTCCCGCCTGATACTGCCTCACATTCCATTCAAGAGTCACGCTCTCGCGCGCGTGCCTTACCATGTATGCAGGAATCGCGCACTCGCGTGGGACTCTTTCGCAATGTGTTCAAATGCCGCGCCCTCGACACTCAGGTATCACGCCCTCGTTGGGGTTTTCCTAGCGATGTACTTGGGATTCGCGCTGTCGCTCGAGACTTCCTCGCGATTTATGCGGGACTCACGCTTCAGCAACCCGCCTGCTTGACCTGGCCGCTTGGTCCCGCCTTCCCCACCCGCCCGCTAGGGTTTGCCCGCCCGATCTGCCAGTCTGGTTCTGCCACATGCGTTCTGTTTCTAACCACCCTCATGCTAGTTTTTGTCGTGCTCCACCATTTTCCCTCCTCCTTTCATCCGTCCTCACCTCCCTTGTTTTAGGGGCTGCGGTATATGCGCGCGGCAAATACGGAAGATGTACCCCAAGGGGGCACGACTGACGACGAACCGGGCGGGCAGTACCGAGGGTTTGGGATATACGTGTTGAATGTCACGAAAACAAGTAGAAGCGAACAATGTTTAACTGATTGCTGTTGCTGGTGCTGTTCTGCAATGTCGCTTGGACCCCGCATCGATAATTTCGCCACCGCGCGGCGCGCCCGCGTTGGTCCAGCAACCCCCTCCCTGTTTGCGCGGGTCCGTATCAAATAACACTTCGCGGGCCACGCACGCGGGCCACCACGCGCGCGTGTCGAAAGCATTGCACGATCGAGCTCTTCACAAACACCTGAAACAGTAAACATCTGCTAGCCTATAGAGCGTCGGCGCGACTTCTCGAATGTCTGCGCGCGCACTTGCTCGCCCCCGCCTTTCCTGGCGCCGCTGCATCGCCGCCGTCGCCGTCATCGACATTCGCCGCCATTGCCGCCCTCCAGCGCAATCACCTTCATCACCGGCGGATGGACATCATCCTCGTCGTCGTCGTCGTCGCCAGCATCGGCGCCGTCATTGGCAGACCAGTCGTCGTCGTCATCATCGCCACACCCATCGCTAGCATCACCGTTGTCGACGTTATCACGTTATCGCGATTTCGCGACCGCCCGAGTCACCGGCCCGCCATGAAGCGCCCGCACGCTAGAGCGGCCTTGGAGACGCGCTGGGAAGTCCCCATCGGCAAGCACCATCGCGACCGCATCAGCTGTGCCAAACCAGCTGGTCACTCCGCGCGCGAGCCTATGCGGGCCAGCACGACAGCAGATATTCGCGCATGGCGGGATCTCAGAAGCGCGCGAACCAACTTTTTCGAGCGCTAGGCCGCGCCTGAGTCTCCGACGCGGATGCACTTGAATTTCTCCGCCAGCCGACCGATCATTGCGCAGGGTAATTGACGCAGACAGCTTGGCCCGTCCAGCACTTCGCCAAACAGGCGCGATCGGCTCAACTCGGTTGCCCTCGCCGAGCAACGCTGGCAGCGCGCGCCTGCAGAGACAGTCTCGCGCATGGGCGCCCGCGCCCTCGCGCTCCATCTACCGGGCGCTAGGGCGATGGCCCGACGGGGCCCGCCAGCCCCGCTGCGCCGAGAGTTCGCTGTACGGGCGCCCGAATTTGGCGTCATTTCCCTGCCGATTTCGCACGAAAGTCGCATTTGCGCGGCCGCCGCCCGAAACAAAGCGGCGCCGACGTAGCGCGGCACTCCCTTCCAAGCCAAACTCAGAACAAACTCTTTTCAGTTGGGGCGCGCGTAGCCGCCGTCTGGGGCCTGGGCCAACGTGGCCGCGAAGGGCCGCGGGAAAGGGGCGACGCCGGATCAGGGGCAGGGGGCGAGGGGGCGAGAGTGCGAAGCGACGGCGAAGCGACGCCGCGAGGATGCAAGCGGCGGGCAAGGAGCAAACGGTGCGGGATGGAGCGGGGGGGGAAGCACGACGTGGCTGCTTCCCCGCGCAGGGACAGTTCAAGGCAATGCTGTTCCAATTTGCACAGGGCGTTGGCGAGGACGCGAGGACACGCGCGGGCTCGTCATCTTCGCCCTGCAAAGCCCCGTCGTTGTCTGCTGCCGTAACTTTGCTGGCGGCGTCTCCGGTCGGGACTTTGTGCCGTTCGGCGCGCTTTGGTGCTGGGTCGCGTCGCTTTCGCCTGCGCTGGCGACGGGCCCGCGTTCGGGCATGTCGCCCCAAGTAAAACGTCCTCTACGCTATCAGCTTCAGGTCGGGGGGCGGCGCTAGAAAAGCCCGGGCCAGGCGAGGAAGAACCGACCTCACCGAAGAGGCCCCGGGGAGACGCTGACACCATGGGGCTGAACCCCTGGCTGTTCGACCTGCTCAAGCGCAAGGCATCGGAACAGCGCGGCAGCTGCGCGTCTGCGGCCTCGCGGGAGCCTGGTGGCGGTGGGCCGCCGTCTGATTCTGCCTCCGACGACGGGTCGAGCTCCTCGGATTCAGATTCCGACGCCTGTCGCGTCCGCCACGGCAGGCTCGGAGATGCCAGCTGACAAAGGGGCCGAATTTAGGGGCGCAGGCGCGGAAGCGCAGGGCCATCTTGCTTGGGGGTTCGCGGGCGGAGCACGGGCGCTGGGGGGCTGGTTTCGACGCGATCAGGCGAGAGGCGCGCGCCCCCAGAGCACGGCAGTTTTGCGAGACTTTGGATCTAACGCTGAGCTCCTCGCACAGCCCGTCCCGGTTTGTGCGCGGCGGCGACGCTGCTAGACTCCTTGGCCAGCACTGGGTGGCCAAAATGGGGCACCTCTTCAGCGTCTGGGCCGCCGCGGGGCCCCGCTCGGATTTTCCCTTCCGGCAGGCCCGCGGTGCTTCCTTCGCGGAGCCGCCATCGTTCAGCGCGTTGGACGTAGGAGTCGACGCCGCAATGCAGCGCAGGTTGAGGTCGTCGCGAATCTGGCGCCTCGCCCGATCGCGCGACGCAGCTGCCGCAGGAAAGCCCGGGGAGGGCCATCCGCAATGAACAGGAATGAATCTACCGGAACTCGATCCCAAAACTGCGCCGATTTCGTGTTGGAGCCCCCGCTCGGGATTTGCTGCGCTTTGTGCCTTTTAGATTTTGGCCGCATCTCGGCGGCCTGAGCTGGCAGAGGTCTCGGCAAAGGTTTCGGCGCGCCTTTTGGCGGGGGTCGAGGCCATGGGGGCGGGCGGGACACGCCGACAACAAGGAGTCACCGGGTTTGTGAGCCCTACTTGGGACGCAAATATTAGCGCAGGTTTTGGCGCAATTGTTGGTGCGTCCTTCGTCGGGTCGTTGATGTCGCTGGCGTCGCCGCTGCGCCATCTGCATTGCATGCCTTGGAAGCTCCAATTACTTTGCGGACCCGCATCAACCTATCCAAACAAGATGCCCGAACGAGTTGTCTGGGCTTTTGTCGAGGCCGCAGCGGGGCCTTCTGGCCATCATCGCACAACGTTCC